CGTGGGTTCGAGCAGAAACGTACTGGTATCGCGTTTTCTTCACCTAAATAGGGAGTTTTTTCATAAAATTCCTGCCATGAGACATCTTGAACAGATGTACCAAGGGGTGCTCTTGGCACAATGCCCATGTGTTACATTGCCTCATTTTATTAATCCAATTCTAAAATTCCCTAATTTCAGAAGCCATGATACAAGCATTTTTGAAATGAATTATTATTATTATTATTATTTTGAACATGAGTCATCCAGGAGTGACGTCCCGTGACTGATTCACCTCTAAAAATCACCGAGCTGAATCACGTTTCGTGAACGTCCACCCTCCTATGGTAAATAAAATTAAAATGAAATTTGTTTTCCTCTAAAATGTCGATTTAATTTAAAACAAAATGGAATCAATCATGAACGCTACATTCTTGTTTATTATCATTTCTAGAGCATCCGGAAAGTACATTGACGCTTCGTTAAAGACTTCACGTGATCCGTGACGGATTATCTTAAACGACTCATAAAAAATCGGGGGAGGAGAGGCGATTTTTGTTTTTTTTTTTTTTTAATATTTACCAACCGAAGATGAACAAACGCGACAAACTACCGAGAATCGCACTAATTAATGTACTTAATGTAATGTTTTTTGAAAGCAATAAAAGTGTGTAACGTTCAATGACGTTTCACGTTCATTCTCATAAACTACTGACCCCATCACTTCAAAGGTTCGGAAGTTGTTTTTAAAATGATATCTGGTCACGTAATTCCGATAACCGCTGCAGAAAATAGAAGATTTGGAGCAGTAAATATGAAAAACTATGACTCTATAATATAATCTGGAGCTATAAATGTGAGAAGCCATGGCTCAAGAATGTATAAGATTTGAAGACATAAATATGAGAAGCCATGGCTCTAGAATGTATAAGATTTGAAGCTATAAATGTGAGAAGCCATGGCTCAAGAATGTATAAGATTTGAAGATATAAATATCAGAAACCATGGCTCAAGAATGTATAAGATTTGAAGCTATAAAAATGAGAAGCCATGGCTCTAGAATGTATAAGATTTGAAGCTATAAATGTGAGAAGCCATGGCTCAAGAATGTATAAGATTTGAAGATATAAATATGAGAAGCCATGGCTCAAGAATGTATAAGATTTGAAGCTATAAAAATGAGAAGCCATGGCTCTAGAATGTATAAGATTTGAAGCTATAAATGTGAGAAGCCATGGCTCAAGAATGTAGAAGATTTGAAGCTGTAAATGTGAGAAGCCATGGCTCAAGAATGTATAAGATTTGAAGCTATAAATATGAGAAGCCATGGCTCAAGAATGTATAAGATTTGAAGCTATAAATATGAGAAGCCATGGCTCAAGAATGTAGAAGATTTGAAGCTGTAAATGTGAGAAACCATGGCTCTAGAATGTAGATTTGGAGCTATAAATATGAAAGACTATGGCTCTAGAATACAATCTGGAGCTATAAATATGAGAGGCCGTAGCTGTAGAATGTGATAATCCTCATGGTTGGATAATCGAGATGAATATACAACACCTGATTTATCGAGTTCAAAAGTTAAAATATATACTAAATTTGGTTGCTGTCAACGTGGAATCCGGTGACAACCCGTTCAGTCTGATAATCATGCTTGACTGAATAAAGGTCTGCCTCATGATGATTGATTCTAACCATCGAGGAAGTATGAAACCAGTTGAACCGTTATAATTCATTATCTCATCTTTCGTCTTGAATGATTGAATAAGGCTCTCAGGCTACGTTAACTAATTAATAAAGTTCATGTATACTTCCTGTATAGTCAAACACCTGGTCTTTATGATTATGAAATTTACATGGGACTATTCGAGTATTTACTTCAGCAGTTTATGTGCGAGAGGAGATTCATTTGTATCTGACGATGGGGACGGGGTGAGTCTGATGACGTAAGATTGCCCGTGTTGTTTATTTTTCACCCCAATCATCACAAAATTGTCTGAAAGTAATTCTTGTGTATTTGGGAATGGTTTCATTTCTGGTCTGATGACTTAATTACAGGGAGGGAGTGTCTGATTTCTGATGACTGGTGATGAAGGGAAAGGGATCAAAAACGGACAAAGTTTCGCTGATGTAATGCTTGAACGACTCCCAAGAGGAAACAGATGTGAAATATGATAAAAAGATAGCATCCTGACAGTTGGTAGACGATCCTGAAGCGTAATAAAAGGATTTAGAGACTGAAAATCCGTTAATATTGTTAATAATTCTAAAGAATATTTGATATTTTGATATATAAAGGCTTGGAAGATGGCATCCATCATTAATTTAAAAAGTTTAAAAAATTCCACCACTAATTAGAGTCGTGAGATAAAGACCAAAGCCTTGATTGCCCTAAGCGAAACAATGCAAATTAATTCAGATTTTGGAGATTTCGATACAAATTGCCCAAAATTTTTTCTTTAAAACAATTAAAGCATTATCTCTTCCCCTATCTCAAATACTATTGAATATGTAGGCCCTATATTAATTATGTAAATTGTACTTATTACATCATAAATTATAGAATGCAGACATTGCATACGATTTGAAACTTGCTTGAGAAGTCAAGACAAGGCAAAATTAAAATTAGTTATGCAAACTCTTAGAATTTTCCTCCTCCAACTTTTTTCATGCCTCTTATCTCTTATAATTAAAGGTTTAATGGTACATAAGAGTCAGTTTCTTTTCTCATAAGGTTCAAGGATCAAGCCATGAATGATTACTATAGAGAAAAATTATTGCACATTACTCATGCATGATCTCAGTGATTCGAAGTTGAGCCAGACTCTCAGGTAGTCAAAATACTGGTTAACGACCTTTAACCACTCATTATAGCTAAACTTAGTCTCTCATACGCAAACGTGACTTAGTTCTAATACAATAGTTTCCGTGTGACGATATCGTGGCTTGTGGAAGGTGTACAGATGACAAAATATTCCCATGTAATATCAATTTTTACAGGTTTTCTTAATGGTGTTGACATAATTTAGCCAAATTTCTAGTATAATGGATCCTCTGAACGACTTAACTTTTACTAGAAGCTTAGACGTTGCACCTGACGGAACTAAGACCCTTCATCAAGGCCAGGTTTCTATTGTCTGTTAGTCATGTACTGTGTATCCTGTCTCTATTATTGTGCACGGTAGTAAAGGGGGGGAACTGATGATTTTGTACTTTCTTAACACCATCTGTTCAGTTGAGTCATTTTATTATGAATTTCTTGTAGAAAAGATTTTTGGGAGGTGCCAGAAAGTAAAAAAGATTTCTTCTTCTGATAAGTAAAGCTGGTTAGTAGTAAATAGAAGGGATTAATCTTCATAGAGGTTAATGGGGGAATGAATAGAAGGGATTAATCATCATAAACTTGAAGTATATTTTAACTATAATTAGTGGATCTGTTAATGTAGCGTTGTTATTTTGATATATAAAAATGATTTAAATATGAGTTTTGGGAGTTTTAAAGGGCCAAAAAATTTCTTCAGACATTTTGAAAGAAAAAAATATATATATTCTATATATTATAAAATAAGTTTATGGTGGTTTCAAGAATTGATAGGCCTATAAACAGGGCTGGAAACACAGTAAATTTTAAACATGACTTCATAAAAAATGGCGATAATGTAAATATCAATTGTAAATAAACCGCAAATACAGTCGACCCCCTATAACACAATTGATTATTCCGTTTTATATGAATTCCATGTTGAACGAGTCACTTAGATTTTACAAATACGCGAGCCGTTCACAGCCGGCACACGTATTTGTAAAATCTAAGTGACTCGTACAACATGGAATTCATATAAAACGGAATAATCAACAGTGTTATAGGGGGGTCGACTTGTAGATTTTTTGAAGATAAAAGATTATAAAATTTTCTGATTGTTTTTCGTACGTGAACATAAAAAAATGGCAGTTGCAATATTTGAAACTAAGCTATTGGTGTATCACGCAATCAAATTAAAGTGTATTTAGCCTATATCTTTAAATAGATGCAATTAAAAATTCTAAATTGCAAATTGTGTGCAATTTTTCAGTTGAATTTCCTTACGACACATCAATTGTTATAAGGAAATTAAAATAATAATAAAAAAAAAACGAGGACGAATCGATTGTATTGATGACTTAACAAAACAATTGAGAGAAGTTGAATGCGTTTAAACACTACGATGAGTCAATAATGTGTGACGTAGTAAAATATAAAGTAAGAAGCTGTTACTTCTACTTTATCTACATCATTCTCTGCTCATAAAAGCGCAACCAATTAAAGCATGAGAAAAGGTCAGTCAACTAATTAAGTCCACCTCCGTCCAAGGTGTGTTTGCACACGTCATCGCTGTCATGTTTTCCTCGTCGTCACCAACCGGTCCTGCACCCCTTTGACAAAAATATTCTGTTCGTGTATTTACCCATTACGGGTCTTGCTAGGGAAGTTTGGGCGGGGTACTCTACGAAGGTTAAAACCTAGAAATTTCTCAAAAATTACGGTTTAACTGCGTTACGTCAGTGCTTTTAACACAACTTAACGGCTTTTGTCGGTTCGATTTTAAAATACTAGACGTATATTTACCGTGTCTGAGAGTTGAAAGGTGAATTTATGGTTTGTGAAATTCGCTATAATGAAAAATGGTGGCTTGGGAGCCTGAAATATGTGTTTATAACTTATAAAAACGGGTGGAATTTAGGGAGTGGATTAGTTTTTTTTTTATGTCACACTTTGTATTATTTAATCCATATCCTAAATGTTTATGCCGTATCTTACATTGTTATCCTCAATTGTGAGAGTAATTTATGTAAATTTAAAATATCCCTTAGGGGATAATGACGTAACAATACGGGTTGAAAGGAAAATCGATCGCGTTCACCTCAATAAGGAAATCAATAAGGCAAATTTCGATAGCTTCTGCTTGTTTAGAAGATTGAAGATAGGGAAATTTTATTATAGATATATATTTGTGTTAATTATTAACATTTTTATTTGGCAGAATGACGAAAGAACGGAGGATGCCTAAAAGGCCTGAGGTCGTGACGTCACAGAAGCGGACCATTTCTCTTTCGGACAGCTCGTCACAGTTGTTCTGATAAGTCCGAGCCGTCAATAACTATGGAAGGAAATTGGGCGGAGGAACCAAATAACGGGGAGTGTTTAACGTGGGACACGTCGTACTGCAGCACGTGGCACAGCCCGAATTCCGAAACGGACGACACATGTCTAGATTATCGAATAATGATACCAGAAGGAAAGGAGTACAAAATAGTTTTTATCAGTTCCAGTTCCGACACGGACGACGATTGGCCGAATCAAGCGAATTACGATGATTATTTCGATCTACCGGAACTGGAGGAAGATTTCGTCGTTCACGTTACCGATTACGTCACGGAAACATGCGACGGTGTCACGAACGGAACTGGGCCAACAGAACACGTTACGGACTCCACTGGCAAGAAGAAAGACGTGTTGGAGGCGGACCGTGAAAGTGCAACAGGCACAGACCCTGACCCCGGCAGGAAACCGAGTATAGAAGTGCAGCAGACTGACTCGGTGCGGGCTGCAGCCAACTACCAGTTGTGGGTTGGTAAACAAGATCGGGAGACGTCGCCTAGCAGCTGTGCAGCACAATCGATCGTGCAGTCGGAACATGGCGGAGGAGACGAAGTTATAGACCCAGATATGGAAACTGCAAAACGTTCTGATGATATTTTGCCACGGCATCAATCACAGGTTAAAATAGAAGAGGATAATGTGGCCGATGATTGCGTTACCAGTCAAGAATGTGCCACCCACACGCCGCGGAACGAAATGGATGTTTTGAATACAGAGAACTGTCGACCCGATTTGCAGTCGATGAAACCTGATTTAAATAATGAAGAACTGTCTACTTTAGAAAAGTACTTCACCGTCGCCCTGGAGACAGGTAGGTGTTTTAACTCTAAACGTCAGCCGTCCGTCGCAGTCAAGAAAATGCCCGGTTTGGTTTCGGACGGGGCCGACGCCGACGTGGATTCCGTTACCGAATCCGTCGATGCTCGAGATCCTTATCCCTCCGACACGGAGACGTCGAGCGTTAGTGATGTTTTCAGTGATAACGAAGACAATAGTGATTCTTCCTCGGATGAGGCTACTTACGTTGCGCCTGCAGCTACGGGTCAACCTCTGTATAGTCATTCTAGTTATAGTTTACATACCATTATGGAGGAGAGTTGCGAAGAGAGCGATAGAGGTTCCGGGTCGACTACGCCGACTAATCGGATGCCGCCCTCGGAACTCGAGAAGTATTTTAGTTTAACTATTGCCAGTGCGCTCGATCAGAAGAGGGCTTCGTTGGCTATCAGCGAGGATGATTTGAGTATTATTAGTGACTCGTTTTCCGAGAATTCGGGCTCTATTTATAGTGAAATGAGTGAAAAAACAAATGATGTTGATCCTGCCGTTTTGGCTGCTTCCCGCCTAGAAAAATATTTCACCTTTGGTTTGTTAGGTAATGGAAAGTTTTGCTATCCGGATGATGCGGAATTTACCGACGAGAGTGCTGGTATCGGTAGTGAAGTCGACGATTGTAGTTTGGCGTCTAAGAGAAATTCAATCTGTTCTTTAGATCCGTCATTTGATGATAATATAACTGAGAAAGTTGATGAATTGATTGAAGCCACAGAAATTGCTGAAAATGCATTTGTTCAGGATAATAATTATGATACTGTAAAACGAAAAAAAGTAAAAGAGAAAGATGAAGAGAATGTTTCTGATACATTCTGTGATGATGATGGTTTTAGTACAGTAAAAAGAAAGAAAAAAGATAATGAAAATGCCAATTTAACTGTTGAATCTGTAAATGATGATAATTACAATCAAGATATTACATCATTAAATTTCAAAAACAAAGAAAATTTTACAGAAAATATTAATGAAGTAACTGATGAATTTTTAAATTGTAATTCTGATAATGATTATATAGGTTTAGAATCAATATGTTATCTTTTTGAAGAAATTATTTTAAGTAAAGATGATACTGAGATAGAAATGTTTAAAGATACAGATAAAGATAAACAAAACTTAACTATAATTGAAAATGATCTAAATAAAAATAATGTTGATATGTTAGAGGTGACAAAACCTGTTGACTTGGATGAAACAGATAAAGTTGACACCCCTGTTTCTGAAGGCTATCTTGATGATGAAGCAAAATATATAATGAATAAGTTAGTTGCACACTTTGCAGATGCAAATGTAAATAATACAAATTCTGGAGAATTTCCTGGTTGGGAATTATTTGAATCGCAGATTGCACAACTTATGCAAACGGTTTCACCGGCATCTTTGTCTATTGGTGATCCGAGCGGTAGTAGTTGCAGTAGCAGCACTATAGGTAGTAACAACAGTGATTATGGAAGTGATACACTAGAATCTGCAGATTGTACTACAACTGACGATGATGATCAAGAACAAAATGGACGAAATAGCGCACTAATGGTTAATGTACATCCATTACAGCGAAGAGGTTCGGAAGGTTCTGGCAGTGGAGAGAGTACAGATTCTACAATTTCTGAAGATACTGTGTACATATGTAAACAATTGATGCAGTCTCTTAAAAAAATGGTTGAAGCTACACATAATGATAGGACTAAAAATGAAGGTGACAGTTTTTCTCAAGCACGAGTTTACATAACTGAACAAATAGTTGCATTAATGCATACAGTGAGTGCAAGTAGAAACGGGTCACCCATAAGAGAACGGAAACAGAATATTTCAGAATCTTTAACTGAGAAAAATGATGTTAAAGTCTTGAAGGAAATTGATAATTCAAATGAATTATCTCCATCAATTTCTGAATTAAGCAATTGTTCTAGTGATGAAGAAGCTGATATTATGTTTGTATCTAATATTGATGATTACAAAGAAAAAAGTTTGCAAGATGAGAAGCTTGAAGTGCCTAAATTAGATTCGGACCTGCTTACGGTTGATGAAGGAATATCTGTAGATAATGCAGAAGATTCTCAAACAGAAAAACATCTCTCGCAGAAAGAGTATTCAATAAATGATGCATATAAAGATACAAACAATGATAACATTGTTCATTCTAAGCAGAAAAGCATAACTGTTGCTCATGTACATTCTATTTCTAAACAAAATTCATCTTTAGAAAAGATTGATATATGCGTAACAGAAAAAACAGAGATCAGTGATAATTCTCAGAATGTATATCTTTGTGCAAAAGAAGAAAATTCAAAATTACAAACAGAAAATATTGATGAAGAAAATAAAGATGAGTGTAATATTCAGAGAACTCTCAGTGATCGTAAGAAAGCATCTAGTGAAAATAATCTTCTCTTAGCTGATTATAAGGCAAAAAAGAAAGAGGGGAAAGTATCTGCTACAAAATCAACTGGAAATATTTCTGATCTTGAAGTTGCTACAGGTTCAAAGGCAGCTTGCAGAGATACTGGTTATTATTCATTGAAGTCATCAGACGATAGCTTTTTGAGTTTGGATGAATCTGTTACAAGTCGAGCATCCTCTGCTTCTTTGTCACATCAAAAATCCCCTGCATCCACAGAAACTATTTTAGAAGATGATGAAAATATTTGTGCCAAACAACCTCAGGTGATGACTGTGATAAATTCCAAAACTACATCATTGAGCTCAGGTAACATACCAGAAACTATAATAAGTGCCACTTCCATAAAATCGAGTACTTTGCCGTCTAGTGTCAGAAACACTGTAACACCTACGCATCCTCCTCCATCATCCACTTCACGTTTCCGTCCATTTGTGTCATCGTTTTTCTCGACGTCTGGTGTTCTCAGGAAGTTAGCAGCATTACGAGGTAATTAGTATACATTAATTTTAAATTTCACATTAAAATATTGGATAAGTGAATTTAAATTAGTCAAATAATTCAAACTTTTATTACTTTTTAATGACACTCAATATAAAAATATATTAACAAATTATAATATTATAATAAGCACTGATATTAAATATAAATATTATTAAAATTTAAATAAATTTTGTTAACTTAAAATGATTGTAATATGATCATCAGCATATTTACTTCAAAATAAATATGCAATAAGTAAAAATATTATATGTTAATATTTTGTAGCACCTCATTCATCTTGCTATACTTACATTTTGACAGCAGCTTACACCCAATATACATTTATACTTTTGTTATTGTTCTTTTCTTAAAAGCTTACAACAATGTTATTTTATGAAATTTTTTGAAATTAACAAAAAAATTTGGAAGGAATATTTAGAAGCTACAAATAAAACACAATGCTAACCAGATGTATAAATTCATGAGCCTATGCTATATATAGAGGATATTCTGGAAAGAATGCTACCATTTTAAATTGCTGTAATTATGTTAATTATTACCCGAGAAGTGTGTTGTACACCAATCGTTACAGTAACTATTTGCATTTCAAATTTATGTATTTTTATCTACTGTCTAGGAAACACTGTAAGCAAAAATGGCAACTCCACAATGGAAACGATGTTTTGTGTCGTACAGTTTGCAAACTCAGAATCGGTCATCATTGAGCAACAGGAATGTTTGCCTTACTTTGAAACTATCTGAGAAATTCATGATTGATTCCAACTTTGCAAACTGCATAACACAAAACATGTTCTCTGTTGCGCAGTTGCCATTTTTATCTATAGCGCTTCTTAGAGACAGTAGACAAAAAGACATCTGTATGCAAATGGTAAATGAAACTTGGACATTTATGCTATTGACTGATGTACTGTACATCACACACTTCTCAGATAATTAACATAATTATAGTACTTTAAAATTGTACATTCTTTATGGAAGACTATGTATAATCAATATTTTTGAAATGATTTGCTTGAAAAGTATGCCAAAAGTAATACTTTTCTATAAAGTTATATTTTCATTATTAAGGTTTCTTTTTTATTTATCAAAATGTTGTTATACAAATCATTATAGATTCTTGTTTCAGTACATCTAGGACAATATTTAATCTAAGCATAGGATGAAGTATCAAGTATTCTACCTATATAGTATCAACTGCTTAGTGCACTTTTACTAATATGAATAAGTTATTGCATAGGATCATTTGAATAGTAAGGTTGTATATAAAGAAAAGCAAGTCAATAAAAAACTTCACAAATTCAACATGTTTTTAAAAATTAATCTGCAATTTCTTTCTGTTGTTGGCTTGAATATTTAACAGAAAAATGAACAAAATTAGTTTGGATTAGTGAGAATGTTCTATGTATACATATGAGATACTCTCATTAATTTTTAATGAAGTCTTTTATCCTAATAATTAAACACAATTCAACAATATATAAACAAGATATTAAAATGTATGACAGAACCTTATCCTTTCTTATTGTTAAGGCTTCTTAGTTTGAACAGAATACAGATTTACAATTTCTTTATAAACATTACCTTCAATTTTTAATTAATCACTACTGATTTAACCGTATTAAAGCATAAATTTCTCGAAATTTAATCCAGTAAAATAAATATTAACTGGATCACTTAGTTACGATCTTATTTAAAATTTCTAGATTCTATAATTAATAAAGAATAGGCGGAAGAAATATTTAATAGCAGCAAGTCATGTAATATAAACATGCTTCTGCATTACTTTATCATCAAGTAACCCAGTTTGATTTGCAATGTTATGCTGATGCATAATTGATTTGTTTTGATAATTATCATATATGCTTGTTTCTTTTTTTATGATGTTCGATGACTAGTAAATTTCCATATCTGGACTATATGATTACACATAAGAAAATTTTCTAATTTAGAATTAATTATATTCAGAGTCATACTTCGTAGAATTCCTAGTTTAAAATTATGTCATTTTTTTTTTATTCCTGTCCCAATTTTCAATTTTTAGAAACTAAGTTGAACAATGTACATGTTATTTTACTTGAAAAAATAAATTTTTCTCGTTTCAGAATATAATTTTAGTTCGAAACTTCATTATAATTTAATTTGCCGGAAGAAAGAAAGATGTTGATTTGATATCAAATTAATAGTTTTTCTATAACACAAAAATTATAATTTTGGTATTTATTATGTTTTTAATTATAAAAAAAGAAAACCTTGCAAACTCAATAAACATAAACAAGTTTTAAAAATTATATTGAGGAAAGAATTTAAGGCATTGTTGCATTTGAAATGTTTCCTCCCGATGGGTTAGTATCCGGAACTAGTTGTAGCAGGTCATCTTGTCACATTCCATCTTCAATAGAAAAAAATAACTGGGTGGATTTCTAATTCATTCACTAGTTTGTAATTAAGAAAAATGTTTTGCTTGATAATCCAGAACATACATCAAGCAAAAAGATATTTTTTTTATTTTATTTTGTTTTATTTAATAAATGGTAGAAAGTTGAATAAACTCGCATGAATTTATTCATCTGAAAAATTTTTTTATCATCAAACTTTTATATAATTAATTATGATTATTAAAGGATTAGTCATATAAATCCTGAATATCCTTTATTGACAATTTATAAATTTTTAATTATAAAAACAAATGAAATTATTTGATTAATTATTAGACATTTTAATCTGGATCCAATGTAACAGTTTGTTTAAGTTAAATAAATAAAAATTGTAGTAAATTATGTAAAAATATTTCTCAGAATTAATGATTATAGAGATTGTTAATTCAATTGCTACAGTATTTTGCAATATAATGTAAACTCGTCTGTTATTGTTATAATAAAACTATGTTTATTATTTTATTTTAAAATACTAAGATTAAAGTGTAGATATAAATGAAAATAATCAAATTTAAATGAACAGAAATAATGCTGTAAACAAAATAAATGGTATTTTCACCAATTTATTTCAGGCTTCTTCACTTTGTTGAAAGTACTTTGTAAATAATTTTAAAGTTAATTATATTGTTTACTTTGTTTATGATGCTGTTTTTGTGAATTTAAATTTTGTTATTTACATAAGTGTACATGACATACAGGTTTTACTTCACTATATAGGAACATTAAAATTAACAATGTTGAATTATTTATAATTAATTAATCTCTTAATCTTACATTCAGATCAAATGAATTTTTATTTAATATTTTAGTATCGTATATGGAAACTGTACATAAATAATTATTAGTTACTGTGCTGGATCTTTCTGTTTCTCTATCATATCTATTGATCATGATGGTGGCATCAATGATAAAAATGTTTGTTGCAGTTTTGCTATAGGTTTTTGCTAGTCTTTTTGTGTAAATGGTTTTGATTTTACAGATTTGCCTTCCAAATTTTATGTTTAAAATATTTAATTTTTAAGGATTATGATTGAGGTGGTACAACCTGAGGGAGCTAGTCCAATTTTTTGGGTTGGCTTAGAAATTTTCAGGAGGGGATTGATCCAGTTATGCTACATCCCATCCTTTTACTACTTAATTGCTTTCTTTGTGGATAATAAATTACCAAACAATCACCTAAATATCGGGCTATAATACTATTCGGGCTTTGAGTTGTTGTTATTCTTTGTGGATCTTGCTTAAACTCGTGATGTGAGGTGAAAGGTCCTTATAGTGCTTGCAAGATGGAGAGTTATAAATATATGCTTTATATATTTAATCTATATAATAATTTTATATGTTTAGATTTTATTAAAGTGATAACAGAAACTGATAAATGATGAAATGTTAATTAAATGTATTTAGTGATATATCTTTTATTTGGAATAATAATTTAGTAATTTAATGGCTTATAACATTTTTATAAATAACAATCAGTTAAATTTCCTTGTATGAATGAAATGAAAGCTTAAGAATATTCTATAATAAAATATTTACAAAATTAATTAAAATTGCGAGAACATTTTAAATTTGCCGTTTGTTATAGATTATAATTAAGAATATAAAGCTGCAGATGGCTGAATTAGAATTTTGATAAATAAAATAATTTTAAAAAATGCAATGACATAAAACTTGAAGTCTGTTTTTATATTATGAATGGCTATATTCTGTAGCTTAAATAAACTCGTCTCATAGAGTTGTGTACATTAGAGTCACTTGACATTATAAATGCCAAGTTGTTTTTTAAATTTGAGAATTACATTTTATATTAATTCTATTAACTCAAGTTACTACATCTGTAATATATCAATATTAGCCAATACTTCTTTATTATAAATACAAAAATACAGATATTGATAAATTAAATTTCTTTTAAGGCTAAATTCTATGATACTGTGTTTTTATCTTGAGACTATATCAAAGAATCATAACTGTGACTGTGAAGAGTGAAACTATGTCAATGAATTATATTTATTCTTATTAACTCATTGCTTATAAGCCAATAATTGATTTGTTTGCTATTCTTATCTGCGTTTTAATTAATATTTGATTTATTATTGATGAACAATGCTGCATATTTTCCTGTGTTCTGACCTTTTTATCTGTCAATCTATATTTATATGTCTTTCAGTTGAACTTTTCTACTCCATTAAATTTATTTTTTATAAATATATCTGTTTATTTTTATTGGTTTGATGCATCATATTTTTAAAGTTCATTTTTCTATGTTATTATAAACATTACAGTGTAATTTAATTGTTATTATTAATTATTAATAGTATTAGAAAGTATAGTACAAAATATGAGAATTACTGTTTCATGTTTAATGCTAACTGTTCAACATTTGGATTAAGGTTTCTTGTTTCAACTTTGCATTTGCTATTGTTTTTTTGCATTCAGTGACAGACCATAGTTTTGCCCTAATAAAGAAAATATTGACCATAAACTGGAAAATATTCAGTTTTACTTTACTTCTATATACATTATGATACTGTTTTTCTTTCACATACC